GACACACTGCATGATGACATGGTGAGTCCCCTGGGGACACACTGCATGGTGAGTCCCCTGGGGATACACTGTATGATGACATGGCGAGTCCCCTGGGGACACACTGCATAATGCTATTAGCTAAGTTCTCCCCAAACGAGCTTGATGGGCCGAATGGCCTCTCGTTTGTAAATTTCTTATGTTCTTATGTTCTTATGCATGATGACATGGTGAGTCACCTGGGGACACACTGTATGAGGATATGTTGAGTCCCCTGGGGATACATTGTATGAGGACATGGCAAGTCCTCTCGGGACACACTGCATGATGACATGGCGAGTCCCCTGGGGACACACTGTATGACTACATGGCGAGTCCTCTGGGGACACACTGTATAATGACTTGGCGAGTCCTCTGGGGACACACTGTATAATGACTTGGCGAGTCCTCTGGGGACACACTGTATGATGACATGGCAAGTCCCCTGGGGGCACACTGTATAATGACTTGGCGAGTNCACACTGTATAATGACTTGGCGAGTCCTCTGGGGACACACTGTATGATGACATGGCAAGTCCCCTGGGGGCACACTGTATAATGACTTGGCGAGTCCTCTGGGGACACACTGTATGACAACATGGCGAGTCCTCTGGAGGCACACTGTATGATGACATGGCAAGTCCCCTGGGGACACACTGTATAATGACTTGGCGAGTCCTCTGGGGACACACTGTATGACAACATGGCGAGTCGCCAGGGGACACACTGTATGACAACATGGCGAGTCCCCTGGAGGCACACTGTATGATGACATGGTGAGTCACACGGAAGTTGCTCTCCACCTTTGCTTTGGCAGGATTCCAAGTGCCTCCTGGTTTAGTCAAACTCCGGACAGAATCATCACGGGAACAGAAATTACTGTTTGTTAAATTCAATCCATTTTGTAGAGTGTACACAATGTGGAGCAAGGTCAGCCCACAACGGAAGCTTCATTCCGGTAATTTAATACCACAGTGACAGCAGAACTGTTGAATACATGCCATATGAAGTATTTCTCATAAGAGCCTATAATGAGAATATAATATAGTAAGTAAAAAGTTAAGAACCCATAACCTGCACCTAGTATTGTATACCCCAAAAATGCTCCATTTAATTATACACATATGTGTATTAAATTATACAATATATGCTAATAATCCTGCTCTACCCACATAGGTGAGAATATGGGCCAATATGGAACCTTTGTCTTTGGATATTGGCAGTGCTTTTTATCAGAAAGAAATCAGATCTGCCAACCGAAACGGCAGCTGTGTTAGCACAGAAACTGGCAGCTTGCGGAAAGGGAACGTGAAGCGTCTGCAGCTTCCTGTATTCCACGGTCTAACGTGCGGGCACCTCGGGGACGAAGTCACATACCTGACAGGAACGCCACCTTCTCCTTCAGGACCGGCAGCACCTCCACCGCTTTCATATCTTCATTTTTGCGAAACCCTAAAGGGGGGGGGGGGGAGAGAAAAACAAAGTTAAAAGATCAAGTTCCAGTGAAGTACTTCAGGATAAATGAATTATCTCTGCGGAATATATGATTGTTATCTAGCTTATCGCGTTTTAGTTTGTCTGTGACTAACAAGACCAAAATGTCAAAACAGAACACGAGCAAAACCACGGAGCGGAACGTAACGGCACTGATCTAGAAAATTTCAACAGAGCCGTGCAGTTGAGGAGGAGCTGAGCTCTAATGTTGATCAACAAAGTGCGCAAACACAGAAGCCCTTGGATATGGATTCCCAGGCAGGCCTGATGGATTTACAGATATATCTCGAGAGAGAGAGGAAAAGAACAACAAGCACACAGAGAAATATAAAAAGTCAGGGCAGAGACAATGGCAGCCAAACACTGGTAATTTCATCTTGTCTCACCACTTGAGGGGTCTCAAACTCAAATAACCAAGGGGCTACTGGCTTGAAGGTCTTCTCCCAAGCCAGCAGTGGTCTCGGCAGTGTCACTTACCGAGCCGGCCTGCCGGTGCCAGTTACTGTAGTGGAATATCGGGATTACGTAATTTTCTCTTTTGCTTTTAAACAAAAGATTAATCAGTGAGGCATATTTAGTGATGACTTAATAACATGTAACAGGCTGTATAAAACTGTCTCGGGGAGTGAAAGTGACCAGAAAGCTGGTACTCTGAGATTTCTTCATTAAGACCAAGGTCTGAAAGAGTCATGGACACAATCAGCAAACTGGCGAAGAACAACCAGGGAAAGTAAACACGTATAAATGATCACAGTCTCCTAGTTTGAAAAAGACGCTGCCTGATTTTATTTACATTTAGAGAGTCTGCTTAACTCTACAAACAAGGGGTCTGAGCTTCCATGACAAACGGAGATTAGAAAAGCACTGAGGCACAGATCTCCTTCCACCCGCCCCCTCCAAGTCGTGATGATCTCACGGCAGGCCAGGCGGCAGGAATCTCGTGACTGGGGCCCGAGTTCGCGAGCTTAAGCTGCTCATGACTCGCTCTGCCTCCAGATCCCCATCATTCACTTTAGGTGTTTTAGTGTTTAAGCTAGCAGCCGGAATATAGTGAAATTAGACGTCACATCTCTTGGTGCTGCTTCACGGAAAACAAGACGTATCTGTCCTGTGGCTGGCGTGAGTACACATGAGTAAACGCTCTACTTTGCTAATGTTTAGTTATTTAATCAATTTAGCAAAGTATATTTACTGACAGAACAAGCAAGCAGTTCTACAAAATGAATCTCAAACCATTAAGGTTGTTAAAATAATGTACTTGAGAAATATTCTGTGTGACATACTATTAGTATCGTTGAGTTTCCTGCAGTTTCAAGCTAAAGTGAATTGGCAGGATTGTATCAAGTCAGAAATAAGCTTTGGAAGAATATCAGCAAAATGTTTAAAATTAGCGATAACATTTTGGTGTTCACTTCAGCACGGGCACATCTACCATCTGGTTGTGGACGTCGAACCCAGGTTACGTCAGAGTGAGTTTCTATTTCTGATATTCATTCAAACCTGGGGTCTGTTTATGGAAGCTGCCGCGATACGCGTCGTGTGCATATTTACGGCCTTGCGGATAAGCTGCTAATCTCCTCAGCTCCTGTGGTGGCGAGGAGAGGTGAGGGTTTGTTTTAGCATTTCTCCACCCAGGGGGAACCAGTTCCAAAGGCATTTGGACAATATTTCGGCTGGATGATGACATGCTGATCAGATGGGAAATCACTGATGGGATTTTACAGAAAACGAGGAAAAAATTTAGTCAGAGTTAACGACCAGTGCAAAGCCTTATGAGTATGAGGATAAACTGAACCAGTGTGTTCCTCAGACTTTCCTTAATGATGGTGTGATGAAGATCAACATATTTTCTGTGACCATCTAGCCACTCAACAGGTGACGATAACATGGAGAAGAGAGCTGCACTATGAAGTCAGCAGTTATGAGGCCTGGCGACCTGTCAGAGGACATCACACTATTCCGGGGATTCGTCAAGTGATGTTTGCCTTTAGAAAAAATGGATCAGGCAGACTGCGGAGAAAGAGACAGGAGGAAAGAGAAGCTACCAGAATTACAGTGAAAGCATACTTCTCGTTTGTGGAAGGGTGAGCTGACAAGCTATGCCTGGACTCTCCCATTGGGCAGATCCTGTGAAGGTTCTGGAATTGCACAGTAACGTTATAAGGACAATGGATCCCAGCTGCCATGATGATGATCTGCTGTACCCCTCAGTCTCTCCAAGCCCTGAGGTCTCCTACCCTGCGATGACATATAGAGCGCCTCCTTGTGGACACCTCCACTGGGACACTTCTCAGGAGGACATTTATCTGGGTCATATTCATTCAACCTCAAAAGACATGAGGTGCTCGTCCGGTGTGGACAGGAAGGCTGGACACCAATGGAGAAAGGGTCAGAATCGATCCCCCCGCTCTGCTGCGGGGCACACCAACACCAACCGCCCCCCCCCCCACCATGCTGGCTGAAGCAGCCTGCCATTGCTACTAAGCTGGGACTTCAGATTCACCATCTGTGTGGAGAATCGTCACGCTGTAAGATCTTCAAAAGTAGGTCGAACAACAGGTTAGTCATTTTCTACACACCCACTGCACCAAATAGCAGAGCTGGAAGGAGAGTCAAATCCAGCACTATGCTTTATTATTCTTTGCTTTAGGAGCTACAGGGCAAACTGGGGCTACACTATCTTAAAAATACTCATAATCTAGCTCATTACGAGTAATTCAGTGCTACAGAGTGGAAAAGGTTAAGCTAATGTTACAGCATGTTCAAGAACTTAAAGGAACAAGAGGAATATGCTTACCTCCAGTTTTATTCTAAATAAAATTACTACCCCCACTATGGAAATTGAGAAATTTCGTATAACTCTGCTTGGTGCTACATACACATCATTTCAACAACGATACGAGCAGCTTCTAAACACCAGACATGGCAGATATGCAGAATAAGGCCACCTTCATCTCAGCATCTATAATGACAATACTGGGAACAGGTACATGAAAAAGCACCATGTGGATGTTTTGTCGCCTTGTGATAGATCATGTGCAGTCGCCGTGAAGCAAGAAGCAATTCCCATCTATAAAGGGTCTCAAACAGCCTATCCCAGGCAGCGAGGCTGGGGTCTACACAAGCCATGTGACACAACCCACACACACAGAGTGGAAATGGGATTCGAACTCACAATCCTAGCGGTGTAAGGTAACAGTGATGTCCACTGAGGCCAGCATGCCTCCTCAACAAACAGTAAGACACCGGTACAAAGAGGGACCCAAGCTCACACAAACATGAAACAAAAACATATATTGAGGTAGTATGAAAGAGCCATCATCCAGAACCTTCTACAGTGTAATGACCCACTGAAGTGAGACACCAGGGGACAGGGGTGGTGCTGAGATGCCCAGAACCCAAAAAGACCAATGCAAATGGACTCCTGAATGTGGAACGGTGTTACAGGAGCATGGCTAAGGGGATTACCAAGACACAGCAAGGCATGACCCCGAACTGAGAAGTAAAGTTTTCTCTTCTGGTACCAAGAAGCTGCCTTGCCAGACAATATGTGGGGGGGGGACTCAGTGGGTTAGGTTGCCCTCAACCCCCCCATTTCCTCCAGGCACTGTCTGACCCTGCTTTCTCAAAAAATGTGTGTCGCTTCAGATAAAAGTATCTGCTACAGAAATTATTCTAAATGTAAAAACAATGTGCCGATCCTTATTAGACTTCCTGACCCAATAATGGGAGCCATTTAAACAAATACACTGCAAATACACAAAGATATCAAATGGACATCAGACATGCGGCCACATCAAACAGAAAGACACAATGTAAATAGACATTATCTGATTCTCACAGTGCGTCTCTCCTCAGCTAGAAAACTGGCTCTGACGCTTAGCTGAAAAGAACGACCAGCTTTTAAATCAGGTTTTAATGCGACGATGGTGGTTCTCCCTTAAACGTCAGTTTTCTACATTATAAGCTGGATTTTAAATCAGAGATTCTATAAAACTAGACCCATAACAGAAGTGGCTCGCATGCATATTTAAAGGCAAGCTAAAACCAGCCCAGATTTTTACATATTCTCTTTTATGTCCAAGTAATTCAACATCTGACAAATGTGAAATCAATGAAGAAAGAATGAGAGGGGCTAGGTCCACAAGTATGTCATAAAACCACAGGAAGAAGCATTTAATGATTAGTGAGAGATTAACAATATAAGAATATACCATCACTGTTGCAGTATCTATACCATGGATTTTGACATCCTTGCAGCAGACAGAATATTTCAAACAATGATTAACTTGAACAAAAGCCTTCATTTTGATGCTCTAACAAATGTCACGCGTGTTTTCCTTTCCTTCTTTTCTTAACCCCCAACTCCCTTCCTTTGGATTTGCTGAAATTATAGGGTAAAAACAAAAAGAATAAGGAAAAACAGATCTGAAGCACAAACAAAGGCTTGAGGCCTACTCACTGCGGTTACCCAGAATCCCATTCTCAAAGGGAAGGCTGTAAATGTGGTCATTTACAGAGACAGGAGCTGTTGGTTTAGCGTCCCTGACCTCACCGTGATCTCCGGCACCATGCCGGACTGGGTCAATCCCTCCTCTGGTTTAACGACACCCACACAAAAGGGAGAGATGACGGCGACTTTAACCTCGACCCCATAATCTATGAGCCCATAAACTCCCGTTTCAATGTTGTGGTGACGTCCCAGAAAAGGGGATCTGGGCAAAGACATAAAAATAACAAAAGGGCATAAACAGCAACATCCATTCATCTTCCAATCTCTGACTCAGTTGAGGGTCTTTGGCGGTTGGGGGCTATAAGTGGAGAGCATCCGCCACCTCCCCCCACTGCAACAAGCTTTACAAGAACAAAGATCAAAATCAAACCAGAATTCAAGGTAGCTATGGCGGGATTAAGAGGCAGTGGGTGTCTACCTGCTGAGCGCAAAAGATGATGTTGTC